AAGGTACCCCGAAGAGGAGGGTTACTCATTCCAATGGGGTCACTCTGAGGAGAGAGAACCCTCTGCAGGTGAAGATCTCCCTCCAGGGAGAGGTCAGCCCATCAAAATTCCCCCTGCAGGGGAGGGTCATTCATCTAGGAAGCCTAACTCTGCAGAGAGAGAACCCTCTCCTGGGAAAGATCGACACACAGGGAGGCTTTGTCTCAGAAAAAGATACCCTGGAGAGAAGAGTTACCCATTTGAGAGAGACAACTCTGAGGAGACAGTACACTCTGCACGTGAACATAGTCCCACAGGGAGAGGTCTGCCTCAGAAGAAAAGCTGCCCTGCACAGGAGGGTCTCTCTGTGGAAAGGGGTAGCTATTTGGAGAGAGGCGCCTCTACATGGAAAGAGGACCCGACAGGAAAATGTAGGCCTCCAAAGAAAAGCCGACATGCAGAGAAACATCTATCTGCCGAGGAAAGTTGCCCTCCCAAAAAAAGCCGTCCTGCAGAGAAAAGTCTATCTTCCAGGAGAGTCTGCCTTGAAGAGAAAGTGCACTCTGGGAAGAAGGGACACTTTGTTAAGAAAAGATACCCTGCAAAGAGGCAGCTCTCTGCTGAGAAAGGACAGATTGAAAATAAAGGCAGCTGTTCGGAGAAAGTTTATTCTGAGGAGAGAGGTCAGTCTTCCCAAAGCAGCGATACCGCTGAGAAAGGTAACAGAGTAGAGAACGGGTACCCTGTGCCTGAAGGTCTTCACTCCACGGAAAAAAGCTTTCCTGTAGAGGAACCCTCTTCCTCAGGATCTGCGCCTACCATGCCAGTGCCAAACAGCATTCAGAATACTCCAGAAAACCTAGCTGGCAGTGGTCCTAGTACAGTACCACAGATTCCTCACCAGAATGTGCCTGGGACTGTCACCACTGGTCAATCTGAGCAGGCACGGAACGTGCGATATACAATTAAATTCAAGTTTTCTAAAGAACTTAAGGCATGTCTTGTTCAGGACTGGGACCTGATAAACAAGCATAAGCAGTTATTCCAACTCCCTGCTAATAAGGATGTAGATACTATTCTCGCGGAGTATGTCACTTTTGTGAAATCGCAGAGAAAAGGTGATAATAGGGAATATTCTGTTGATGAACTTGTATATGGAATAAGAGAGTATTTCAACAACATGCTGGCCACCCAGCTGCTCTGCCAGTTTGAAAGACCCCAATATGCCGAAATCCACCTGGCTTATCCTCATATCCCAATGTCTAAGATTTATGGGGCTCCACACCTCCTGCGATTATTTATTCATATTGGGACTGTATTGTCCCATTCCCACCTTAGTAGGCGCAGTCTTGTGCGAGTGTGTAAAAATGTGCACTATTTCCTTAAGTACCTAACTGCGAATTCCACTTCTCTATTTAGTGCCAGCAATTACAAAGCGGCTTCTGCTGAGTATTGTTGCAAAGCCCTGTGACCACTCCCTATTATGACCTGGATCAGTAAACATGTCCATGTTTGCTGTTTTCACTGTAACTGTACTTGAAAATTGTCAAAAGTATACCAGGGCTTAATACTCCAGTTTGTTTATTGTTGTGGACAGGAATAAAAATATTAAATGCTTCATCACTATTTCAACAACAAATAAATGTTAATTAAAAAAGCAAAATTTTGTTCCCGCTGTCCATTCAGTTATGTGGTTTTATTGTTTCCCAATGCCATGAATCTTTTCAGTCTGTCACCACCTCTTTCCTAAATTCCCTAGTTGTCCTGCACTTCTAGACATCTGTTGGGGTTGCTCTCACCTAGTCTAGTCTCTGCTATTCAGCTAGAAAAACCAGGAAGCAGAAGGAAGTGAATCTTTGTCCTCAGTCTGGTGTGGGAGAATAGTCTGTATTCTGTCAATCATATTTTAATAAAACGCTGATTGGCCAGGCAGACAGTATTGGCGGGAAAGCCAGACAGGAAGTAGGGGTGGAGCAAAGAGACTGGGAGTATTCTGGGACACAGGAAGCTCCCTCTGCCACTCCTGCGCAGACCACCGAAGAGGCAGCATGTAACTTGCCCAGCTGAGAAAGGTACGGAGCCATGTGGCTAATGTAGATAAGGATAATGGGGTAACGTAAGTTATAAGAGTTAACAAGAAGCCTAACCTAATGGGCCAATCAGTTTATAACCTTATGGAGTCCTGTGTGTGATTTCTCTTTGGGATTTGCGGGTTGTGGGGTACCGGGCGGGACGGAAACCCCAACAAGTCGGCCCCCTCATGTTACATCAGTCTACTTTCTTCTATGTATCCAGTCAAGGTCTTTCTTGACTTAAAAGACATTGTTCAAATGCAGTATGTTGTTGTTTGGTAAATCAATTCCTGATCTCACCATTGTAGTGAGATGGACAAAGGACTGGAAATAGGAAGTGAAAAACTTCATTCTGGCGTTTCCTCAAATTCAATTTCTTTAACGGTAGTAAAATCATAATTTTTATTCTTTGGGGCATTTTAAAGATCAAAATAGGCAATAATAGGTATGAACAAAGAACTTAGCTTTTATGATCATGCAGATATTAATGCTTATTTCCCTCTTGAGTTTCATTAACTACAATCATAACATCTTTTAATTAATATTCATGTGTAGTATATCCAAATCTCATTCATTTAGTGATTCTGCTATCTTTACTTTATTTCTTGAGTATCTCTACAATAAGACGGCTTACTAGGGACCCCATCTTGTCTATCCAGGTAGGTTTATTCATTCATTTTGCTCAATCTCCTTGTACTCATTATCTTTATCACATTATCCCAGTTTATCACATGGACAACCCAGTTTTAACATGACAAGGAAAATAAATTTGAACCTAGGTGCTTGTTTCACCAGGACTCTAGCTAGTAGCAATGAACAATAGCCTAGCACATTTACATACTTTCTGAACACAGAAATAAAATCCTAAGAAGTAATGATGGGAAGAATGACAATGGGGAGGGGAGCTAAATGGTTGAAGCTACAGATAAAAGGCAAAGGGTATGGCAGGTACCTACAAATTATAGAACTCAAGGGCTGACTTTCTAGAATTTATGACAAATATTACATTTCTGATCTGTATTTTGATTGGATAAGGTTATAGCCAATATTCATTTTTATTTTATAGGGCTGTATTATACAGTGGGATTCGCTTATTCACCACAAGTACTCAATGGGGTGATTACTAGAGTAACAGGTCTCATCATAAACACAGTAAAACAAAATGGGCTGTGCAGTTCATTAATAATAGATTATAGTGCTATTTAAATACATATCATTAGTTTTTGAAATTAGCATGGTACTGGACTATGGTAACTTGAAGTTTTTTTCCTGAAAAAATATATGTATATGTATGTATATACACATATATACATATACACATATACATACACACACACACACACACACACACACACACACACACACACAGTGACCTCTTAAATTCCAGAGGAGAAAAAATACACAGAAACTATATATGCCTTTTTACTGAAATTACTTCCATCCCTGGAGTTAATTATAATCTTTAAGAACCTAAATCCATCCATATTGCTTATTCTTAAGATTTTTGCTGAAAGAGAAAGGAGGGGTGGATGAGGGAGTACCCCTGTCGAACTTTATCTGAAAAATTCATTCATATAAGCATGGACAATATAGCAGTCTATACATATAGGCTAGGTTCACTGATTATGTGGTCAAGACCCAGTATATTTAACATAAAGGTCAAAGACATGCATAATGTTTAGAAGACGAGAACTTAATGATTTTGGAGCCTTGTGAGCATAGTTATTAGTATTTAAGTTTCTTGGGGATAAACATTTACTTTAGGCTTTAGATCCAACCAATAAAAAACAAAGAGAAGTAATGGTGGCATGTATCTCTTAAGGAAACTATAAAATTGAACAGAACAATACACAAAGATTATTTATTCAATGTCTGTCATGGAGAAGAACATTAATGCACACTAGCTCTAAGATAAATATTAGGTACATTTGGGTCAATGGAAAAACCAGATAGATAATTGACATGAAAGTGGGTATTATTTTTTAAAACAGTGTGATCTGCCTATGTAATATTAGAATCGAATAAAACAGTGGGATTGTATAGACCTTCTAACAGAGCTAAACATGGGGTGACAGTGTTGTTTTGCCCGATTTACATAAGACCTTAGTTGGTAATGCACAGTTCCTTCAACATGCTCAATATGAAGCATTTATTCATCCAGATAATTGACATAAGTCCATGCATTTAAATGTTCTTCAGAGTCAGAGATCAAGATAGAAATCCTTAGACTCATAGAGATTTGTGTCTATACACTTGCTTATTATATTCACATTGAAGGAGCTTAGAAGGGGGTACTGTCAGCTTTCAAACCAGAACCTTTTCATTACTTCTCCCTGTTGGGGTTGTAGAGCATGCTGTGAGTGACCTCCAGAGATTCCTCAAGCTGGATGCAGACAGCAAATTGAATCTGAATGCTTTATTAGACACGTTTGTCTTTCAGCTAGTGGGAGTGAATGTCAACTGTACTGAAAAACATAAAATTTCTTGTGAAACTAGGTCCTGACCTTGAAAAAAAACCCTTAAATCAAAGTGTACAATTCAATTCTGAGTCATGTTCTTATTTGTTAAACATAGAGTACCAGTTTAAAAGTGGATGGCACACTTTATCTAAGACTGGGCATGAGAAAGAAAGGAACTTCTCTTTAGATCATGCTGGACCTAGTGAACAAGATGTTTATAATCAAAACCATAACATTAAAGCACCTTGGTTAAGAAGATAACTTTTCTCACCTACTTTAGTATAAGATAGAAAATCACCTTCTCCACTTTTAATCCACAGTAAAAATCACAGAATGTTTAGTTATACCTTTTACATAAATTTCTATAATAATAAAGAATAATCCTGGAAATTAGTTGAAGTTAAGAATCAAATTACCTTTTTAAAGTTTCAATATTTCACTATACATATGTACCACTTGGGTACTCCTCCCTTTTTTATGACAGGTCCTGGAACTCACTAAGTAGACCAGACTGACCTCAGACTCACAGAGATCTGCCTGCCAAGTGCTGGGTTTGAAGGCATGTGCTATCACTGCCTGGGGGTCCTCCCTTTTTAATGTTGGGAATTATTGAGTTTTTAGAGGGCATGACAAATTATTGCTGAGGCAGGACCTGAGGTGTCATTAGTTTTATTTTTTTTCTATTACAGGTAGGTCTATACTATAATTTGGGCACCAGTATAGTTAAAGCTATAACAATGGTACCTAAAATATTATGATACCTATGCTGAGTACATAATGGACTCATTTGGGACTGAAAGGTTGTTAGAGATAAGATAAATATTTTCTTGCAAATAGTAAAATTTAGAGGTCAATATTGTTTTAGAAGAAGATGGCAAGTTAAAAGGTTCTCAAATTAGATGTCAAGACACAGTCATGAAAATGAGTTATGGGATGAAATGATTAGATGTGGCCTGGTGATTTGCATCCAAATTACAGGACATCCTTATTTGATGAGTACTGTAGGGTTTTTTCTTTTTGTTTGTTTGTTTTTATTTTATATTTTGCCTACAGTTTTCCCTCTCTTCTCTCCTCCCAATCCCCCCACAAAACCCCTCGGTCCCCACCCCTCCCAAGTCCACTCTTCATTTCTCTTCAGGAAAGGGTAGGTCTCCCATAAGTACCAACAAAACATGGCATATCAAGTTGCAGTAAGTCTAAAGACCTCCCCATGTATTAAGACTGGACAAGGTGACCCAGTATGAGGAGTAGGGTCCCAAAAGCTAGTAAAAGAGTTAGAGACAGGGGCTGGAGAGATGGCTCAGAGGTTAAGAGCATTGCCTGCTCTTCCAAAGGTCCTGAGTTCAATTCCCAGCAACCACATGGTGGCTCACAACCATCTGTAATGGAGTCTGGTGCCCTCTTCTGGCCTGTAGGCATACACACAGACAGAATATTGTATACATAATAAAATAAATAAATATTTTTTAAAAAAGAGTTAGAGATAGCCCGTGCTCTCACTGTTAGGATTCCCACAAGAAGACCACAGCTATACAACTGTAACATACATGCAGAGAGCTGAGATCAGCCCAATGCAGCCCTCCTGGTTGTGGGTTTTGTCTCTGTGAGCCTCTATGAGCCCAGGTTTGTTGATTCTGTAGGCTTCCTTGTGGTGTCCTTGACCCCTCTGGCAATCCTCTCCCCTCATCTTCAGGATTCCCTGAGTTATGCCTAATGTTTAGTCATGTGTGGGTCTACATCTATTTCCATTTGTTGATGGATAAAAGCCTCTCTGATGACAATTGGGCTAGGCACAAACCTACTAGTATGATAGAATATCATGAGATCCCTTTACATTGACTTTTGCTTCCTCCAGTTATATTTGGCTCCATCCTAGGTCTGTGTGTCATCAAGATTGTAGGTTTTGATGCTACATACAGTGTCATGGGTGGGCTTACTCTCCTGTAATGGGTTTTAGTCTAGACCGGTCATTGGTTGACCACTACCCCCAGCACATCCCATAGTCAGGACAGATTGTGGGTTGTAGTTTATGTGTCTGGATTGGTTTCCTACTCCCTGCACTTGGAATCTTGCGTGGTCAC